GAACGGGGGAGTTTAGTTCATCTTCAACCATCGGACAGTACAGACTTAGGACGACAGTAGTCCTCACTTAGTTCGGTTAAGTGCTACAACTAGTACAAATAAAGTGCCATCTAAATCTAACACTCGAGTTATTTCATCTCCTCCACCTTGAACGTTAAGTCGTTCGAGGTACGCGATATCGACCGATCGGTTTGACCTGACCGGTTGTTCTTTAGTCGATAATACGCAACACATATTGTGTGATCCTTTTCTCCGCATTTCCTGCAGACCTCTTTGCCCGGACTTATCGTTCTGCATTTATTTGCCGTATGCCCAAACGTGTGACACCTAAAACATTTAACCACGTTCGGCAAGATCCTTATCGCGGCTATGGTTAGGCCCGTCCTCATCCTGATGTTAACGCCACCCTTATCAACGTAAACTTTCGGTAACAACGCAATCGCCGACTGTGTGCTCCACGGTGCCCATCTCATTGTTTTGACCTCTACATCCCTACTATCTTTAATTTTTAGCTCAACGACTAAGGACTCGACAAGCTCCTCCCTACTTACGCAGGCCTCTTGTGATTTCGTCTACAATCGTTGACATGTTCGAGCGGCGTTTCGAAGCCCAAACTTCATATTGGTCGCTTCGAATAGACCGAATGGTATTGTGATCGCTGTCTTCGGTACGAGATCGATTTTGAAAAATATGCGCTTACCATGGAGATTCCGCACGAAGTCCTCGATGTGCGGCGGTGAGTCTGAGGTGGTGCGGACGTTAGTCGCCACAGTGTCGAATCCCTCCGTCCTTTTTCGGTACGATGTGTAAGGGTGATGCCCACGGGCTTCTCGATGGCCGCATCATACCTTGTTCGATCATTACTTCGAATTCCGCCTTCGCCTGGTTGAGTCGATCGTGGGCGAGGCGGCGTGGTTTGGCGTGGGCAGGATGTCCGGGCGTCGTGCTGATGTAGTGTTGCACCCCATACCGTATTGCACTTCTCCGGAACACTGGCGGTCTCGCGAGATCGGGGAATTCCGCCAGCAATTTGTGGTACGGTGAATCTCCGGTGATTATTTTTATCGATGTCGCGTCAGCCGTGGCGGCGAATCCTTTCGTCGATAGTCCGGTTGTTGTGTCGAGGAGCCGTTTGTTGCAAGGGTCTACCAGCAACCCGTACTGGTTCAGAAAATCAACACCGATGATAGGCGTTTGCACATCGGCTACTACAAAACGCCATTTGAAAGCTCGGCGTTGGATCGGATAAATTGAGGGGAACTGTAACGGTACCATATATCGGGATCCGCGTTCCGTTGGCCGCGAACAACGGCCCGTAGTCGGTTTTGTTCGTGTTCCCGCGGATCTTACTGCGCGGATAAATACAAGTATCAGCACCGGCGTCTACTAAATACGAGGTGAAAATATTTCAAGACAGGAGTAAAACCTAACCCAGAGAAAATAGAAGCAGTCGAAAATTTTAGAATTCCTAAAAACCTTACCAAAGTCAAATCATTCTTAGGACTCGTGGGATACTACCGGAAATTTATACGTGAAGATAATGGCAGTGAGGAGCGGATTGGAGGGAGCCACGGGGGTCCGTAGGACGAGAGCGGGCCACATCCTGATCGAATTTGACAGGACGGTGGTGGTTAGCGAGGCGGCGGCTAAGTCGAGGGCCGCTTTGAGGGCTACTACGGAGGTAGTTGCCCTGGTCAATAGTACGACCCCGCAGATAACAAATATCGATCCTCTTACTAGTAAGGAGGAGCTGGTGGGCGACATTAGGGCACAATTGTACGAGCGTCTCTCGATAGTATTTATATGTCGGAGATGAAAGGACACCGGAACCTTCGGATAGCTCCGCAACACTGCAATCTAAAGTCTACTATAACTGTAACTAAACTATTGTAGTTATTCAATCCGATTGTAATTGTTCGAGATTAGTGACGGTGAGCTTTGGCTCGAGGCGACAGTCAGTCGCCGAACGTAGCCGCGGTTACGGGATGAACGCTTTGTCTAACAAAGGTATGGCGTAATTCTATAGCTCTCCTTAAAAGAAATATTCGTGGCGACACGCGACAGTAAACATTCCAACGGTTTCTGTCCCGTGGCTCACCACACGCAGACCCTATTCTTCGAGTAAGATGATTGGCAGATGTCGATGCGTCTCCGCAGTACATGTTC